TACAGTAAACAAATGAGTCAAAAACATTATACTTGTTTATTTATTTATTGAGGAAAATGATCCAAAGCTACATATTTCTGTGTGGCAAAAGTATGTGAACCTTTGCTTTCAGTGATGTGTGCCCCCCACAGGCAGCAATAACTGCAACTAAATGTTCCCAATAACTATTGATCAATCTGCACATCAGCTTGGAAGAATTTTAGCCCATTTCTCCTTACAGAACAGCTTCAACTCAGGGATGTTGGTGGGCTTCCTCACATGAACTGCCCACTTCAGGTCCTTCCACAACATTTCAGTAGTATTAAGATCAGGACTTTGACTTGTCATTTCAAAACATTAAATTCCTTCTGCATGAAGCATTCTTTGGTTGTACAATGTGTTTTGGGTTGTCGTATTGCTGCATGACCCACTTTCTCTTGAGCTTCAGTTCATGAACAGATATCCTGACATTTTCTTGTAGAATTTGCTGGTACAGTTCAGAATTCCTAGTTCCATCGATGATGGCAAGCTGTCCTAGTTCAGAGGCAGCAAAGCAGGCCCAAATCACGGTACTGCCACCACATTTCACAGATGGAATAAGGTTCTTATGCTGGGATGCAGTGTTTGCCCTTTGCCAAACATAAAAGCTTTTCATTGAAGCAAAAAAATTATATTTTGGTCTCATCCATCCACAGAACATTCTTCCAATAGCTTTCTGGTTTATCCACATGGTGTTTTGCAAATAAGACAGGCAGCAATGTTCTTTTTGGAAAATAGTGGTTTTCTCTTTCCAACACTCCAAGCACACCATTGTTGCTTAGTGTTCTTCTGGTGGTCGTCTCATGAACAGTGACATTTGCCAATGCAAGAGAGTCCTTTAGTTCTTTAAACGTTACCCTGGGGTTCTTTGAGACCTCCCAGAGGTCTCACATCTTGCTTTTGGTGTGCTCTTGGTTGGTTGACCACTCCTGGGGAGGGTAACAATGGTGTTGAATTGCTTCCATTTGTACACAATCCTGTCTGATGGTGGACTGGTGGAGTACAAACTCTTTGGAAAGAGTTTGTAACCTTTTCCAACCTCATGAGTATGAACAACTGTTTTTTGGAGGTCCTCAGAAATCTCCTTTGTTCAAGCCATGAGGCACTTTGGCATACCTGAGTTGTGAAGATCAGACTTTGATAGAGAATACATAGAATTCTGTTCTTTTAATAAGGCAGGACCTCCCACACTCACAGCTGACTATCATCCCATTGATTGAAACACCTGACTCTAATTTCCCCTTCAAATGAACTGATATTCCTAGAGGTTCACATACTTTTGCCACACACAGAAATGTGGCTTTGGATCATCTTCCTCAATGAATAAATGAACAAATATAATGTTTTTGACTCATTTGTTTAATTGGGTCTTCTTTATCTAGTTTTAAAACTTGTGTGGAACACGTTTTAGGTCATATTTATGCAGAAATATTGAAAATTCAAACGGGTTCACAAACTTTTAAGCATTATTGTATATTATTCTGAATATGCTGTGGTTCTCAACCTTTTATGTTAACATTCCAGCAGGTACTTTATCAAAAAACCTGAGTCCTAACTTCAAAAAAACCCATATTTTTCTAAAAACACAAGTTTACAGGCATTCTATTATTAATATTCACCCTTTTATAATAATAGAGATAGTAACAAGGTGGCAGTGCAGAAAGGCTTCAGCTGTGTTTATATTTATAGGAGTCTCACAGAACTCTGTTTAGCTTACTTCTGAGCAGGCTTGAGTTGAAATTTGTCTGGTTTCTAAAGCACTCCAAGATTCCAGTTGCCCTATGCCACTTTGCCAGAGAAACAACTTGATTCATTTCTGCTTGAATGACAAAAAAAGGAACGACACCAGAGGAGAGCAGTGGAGGTGAGGAGGAGCCATTAGATACTCCCACTAGCATCTGCTCCTTTCATGACAGATTTGGAGAGGGCAGATAACCCTGGTCACATCAAAGTACTGCTAGCGCCTCCATCTCTTTTCCCTCTCCATCCAAGTGTGTCCCTGCAACTTCTTCAGTTGATCGTGGAGAGAATAGTTGGTTTGCCATGGTGGGCCACAGCTACCATCTTCATCTGCTGGGATAGCAAACATATTCCAGGAAGTTGTTAGCTCAGTGTTTTTCAAACTTGGCAGCTTTAAGCATGCTGGTTGGGAAATTCTGGGAGTTGAAGTCCACACATCTTAAAGTTACCAAGTTTGAAAAAAACTGAGTTAGCTGAAGGACCAACAGTGTGTATAAAGGAGGCATGTTGGATGGAGAAGTGAAAGAAGAGGACTGAAACAGCTCTGGAGTGCAAGCAGAAAGGCTGCAGTGAGTCTGGGAAGTACAGTCAGCTCGGGATTCTATGGACTGCCTTGCGACCTACCTAGGCCACTTCCATATTGCATTGATGGAATGTGTACTGCCAGATGAGCATCTTGTTACAAAGCATGTGAAACTTGAGCACTGACAATATTTTCTGATGACTTATCCTACTAGATATTTTAAATTATTTTATGCAATATGCGTAGCCTCTTTTTACCACCATTAAATAAAACTATGCCCTCTAACTCAAGTTTTTATATGTGTGTAAAACACTCAAGAACACCAATGTGTTAGCAAGTATTAGGCTAAAGTGAAATGCTTAATGAAGTGGAATAGTGACTCACTTGAATAATCCATTTCACCTTTCTTCTGGCTACTGTGGTTTTTGCATTCTCCCAAGAGGCAAAATACTAATTTGCTCAGGAATCAAGAGCAGCCTTTCCATTTTGTTTAGTTATGTAGGCTTAGCTATGGTTTGGCTGTAAACAACGATGTTTATAACTAATAAGATTAAATAAAACCTCCCATTTCCAGATCTACAGACTACTTTGGGAAATGTATTGACAAGCCATAGCAGAGGAACCAAAGTTGATTGACTCTATACTGCAGTTGTACTGAAGTTCCTAAATCACCAGTTAAATTGCAGTGTGGTTGCTATATTTGATTCTGTCTTTTATTTGCAGCATATAGCATTCATATTCTCATTCTTTTGGTGACTGTTCTTGAATTACTTGCTGCAAAAATTGCTTTGTTCTTAAGGTCTTTTTAAAAAAATTTAATCATATATCCCAAGCATTATAAAATAAATCGTTTTTGCAGGGTTCCAAGTCTCCTTCTCCAAGGCCAAATATGCCAATTCGGTACTTTATTATGAAAAGCAGCAATTTAAGGAATCTTGAGATCTCACAACAGAAGGGGATTTGGTCTACAACTCCAAGTAATGAGAGAAAACTGAACCGTGCTTTTTGGGAAAGTAGTGTTGTTTCCTTGGTATTTTCTGTTCAGGGATCAGGACATTTTCAGGTGAGGGATCTCTAAACTGACAAACTGACTGTTGGCAATTCACTGCATTATTACTAACATGTAAACTTCTGACAAGTAGTTGACTTAAGTTTTATTTTATCATTACTTCAGTGCAGATTGATACTTTCAGAAAATATCCTCTTGTGATATATAGGTTGTCCTCACTTAACAATGGCAATTGGGACTGGAATTTCCATCACTAAGCGACACAGTTGTAAAGTGTGATGTCACATGACCCTGCCGCTCAGTGACAGAAATTCCAGCACTCCTGATTGCTTTCATTAAGTGAATCACCGTGGGTCATTGAGAATGGATGTCACGTGGTTGCTGTTTGCGACCTCCTGCCGGCTTCCCCATTGATTTTGCTTGTAGGAAGCCGACAAAGAAGATTGCAGATGGCAATTGTGTGACCGTGGGACGCTGTGACAGCTGTAAGTATGAAGATTGGTTGTGACTACCACTTGTTCAGCGCTGTCATAAATTTGAACAGTTGCTGAATGAGTGGTCATTAAATGAGGACCACCTGTACTCCCTGCAGATGCAAAGTAACATTGTATATTTTATATCATATGAGTAAGATTTTCATGAAGAAGCTGATTCAGGCATAAGATTTCCCTTCACACACACACACACACACATTTTGTGACCATTCTCATTTGATTTTGCTGAATGTTTGAATTTATTTAATTAAATAACCTTAATAGAATTTAATTCTTTTCGTACCTAATATAGCAGTCTCTTAGAGTGGGAAGTAAAGTAAAGAGGATTAAAGTTAAACATAAATGTTGTTTATCACAACTTAATTTTACAGGAATAAACCTCTTTTGGGGAGGGTTGGTTTTCCAAGGAAATGAGGTGCTTGCATATAGGGATAGGAGTTGAGAATGATTTGGTTAAATGGAGTGTAACCTCAAGGCAAGCAATCCTAGGATATTGCCTGGATTAGGCTGCTAAGCCTTCAATCCAGTTTAGAGAGAACTTGGTAAACTATCAAGCACAGTTTTCTCAGCTGGTGCTGAAGCTGTCTGGCATGTCCTCAGCCACACAGTTGTGAAGCATGTCCTTTCCCTACTGTGAACCCAACCAGAAAATTGTGTCTCTGCCAAAGGGAAGGAAAATATGCTGTGATACTGTATCTTATGCAAATGCATTTTGTTGAATAAAGATGATAATAAGAATAAGAATAAGTTTCAAGCTCGCCAGACAGTTGAAGAAGAAAAAAGGGCATTGGAAGAATATCTGAAGGACAGTGACAAAGATGCACTGAAACTAGTACATCATGAAGGCTTACTGAATACCAAAGAGACCAAACTGGCCTATAAGAAAGTCCAAATGAAGAATAGAAAAGAGACATGGCAAGGTAAAGTATTACATGGCCAGTACACAAAAAAACTAGCAGGCAAAGCAGATAACAACAAGACCTGGCGATGGCTAAGGGCAAGAAAGTTGAAGAAAGTGACAGAGGGGCTAATTCTGGTTGCACAAGATCAAGCCTTAAAAACAAATGCATACAAAACCAGAATTGAGAAGACAGCAACAGACAGCAAATGCTGCCTCTGCAAAGAAGCTGAAGAAACAGTGGACCACTGCAATTCAGTGCAGTGAGGAATGCTCAGAGCTCTACATTGGGGAAACCAAACAGCCTTTACACAAGATGGCCCAGCACAGGAGGAGCACAGGAGGACCAGAATCAGCAGTTTACCTTCATCTAAAAGAAAAAGGACACTCATTTGAGGACAATAATGTTCACATTTTAGACAAAGAAGATAG